TGGACCTCTCTCTCCTAATGAATGGGTGACAACCATTAGGTCAAGCCTTTGGTGTTGTCCTTCTATTATTAACATGGTTCCCTTAAAATTTTAACTTGTTGAACTTAATGGTCTCAAACTAGTTGGTGAGATATTCTGTTATATTGTAAGCTCTTTGGCAATACCACTTGATTTACATTATTGGAGCAATTTGTGACTGAATGCTTATAAATGGAACCTCTTTATAGGTGCTTGTCAGTAATGTACCTCCAGACCAAGATGAATCTGTTAGTCAGTCAGTGGAGCATTTTTTCCTGGTCAATCATCCAGATCACTATCTTACACATCAGGTTGGTTCTCTTAGCTTGCCTGATCTGTCCAATGATTCATGATTTTTTTTCAGACAGGTGGTTCAACTCCCAATCTAATATATGAAATAATTACTTTACATGAATCATGATTTATTTTGATTCTAATAAGGGTGATCACAAGATTGACCTTGAGAGAAGTTGCAAGATCAATTTAGGCATTCATTCCTTAATAACCAACCCATAAAAGGAGAAAAAATAAATAAATACTCATGAGTTCTTTTAGGACTTTTAGTCTTAGACTAGTACTAGACACTAGTTGGGGGCCTAAACCAGAAAAATAATTAATGATGAGTAAGGAATCAAATTGGGATTCCAAGAAAATAAAACCTAACTACCAGAGTTCCTGTAATAACTAAACCTAATCAAGTTACATAAACAAACTTAAGGGGGCCAAAGGTGAAGGTATTTAATCACCCTACTACTGTTTTTATGCAGGTGGTTTACAATGCAAACAAATTTGCCAAGTTGGTCAAGAAGAAGAAAAACATGCAGAATTGGCTTGACTACTACCAACTAAAATACTCCAGAAATAGCTCAAAGAGGCCAATGGTGAAGGTAATTAATCACCCTGGCTTGTCTGTGAAAGTTTGTATCTCTCCCATTTTCAACTATTCTATATCTCGTTTGTTCTAATGATGATATCTTTCACACTACTAGACTGGTTTTCTTGGGTGTTGCGGTGAAAAAGTGGATGCAATTGATCATTACACGTCCAAAATTGAGAAACTATCTGAAGAAGTAAGTTCTTTTCTTCTACCTGTACCTTTCAGTTCTAACTTGTATGAAGTTTTTGTTTGTATATAATGCATTCTTAATTATATTACCATGTTAAATTCAATAACATAGAAGGTTGTTTTTCTCACCAGCAATTAATAATTGTGAACCTCTTAAATTTCAGATAGATGACGAGAGGGCAAGGGTTCAGAAAGATCCTAAATCTATCATGCCAGCAGCCTTTGTTTCCTTCAAAACCCGATGGGGTGCAGCTGTTTGTGCACAAACACAACAATCAAGAAACCCAACTTTGTGGTTGACAGAGTGGGCTCCAGAACCTCGTGATGTATATTGGGAAAACCTGGCAATTCCTTATGTCCAAATAACTATCAGGAGGCTGATTATGGGCGTTGCATTCTTTTTTCTGACCTTCTTTTTCATGATCCCAATTACACTTGTGCAATCACTTGCAACAATTGACGGAATCGAGAATGCAGCTCCTTTCCTGAAGCCTGTAATTGAAAAGTGAGTTCCTTCCCATTCACAAACCTGAGTTATTATTAAGATGTCATTAGTATAACTGTTACATAACTTATTCTTCACTTTGCAGAAGTTTCATCAAGTCATTTATTCAAGGGTTTTTACCTGGGATTGTGCTGAAGCTCTTTCTCATCTTTTTACCAACAATATTGATGATTATGTCCAAGTTTGAAGGCTTTAATTCTATATCATCTTTAGAAAGGAGAGCAGCAACTAGATACTATCTTTTCAATCTTGTGAATGTATTCCTTGGAAGCGTTATTGTTGGCAGTGCTCTTGATCAACTGAAGACATTTATCAAGCAGTCACCAACTGAGTATGTATTCTTTCTTCAATGCAGTGGCTATTATAATGCTTGGATGTCTATTGTTCTGTCAAGCTTTGACTGATTTCAGATTCTGTTGTACTGTTATGAAATTATTATTAATTTTGTAATCTTTTTGCTGTCTTTGCAGTTATCCTAAGACAATTGGTGTAGCCATACCAATGAGAGCAACTTTCTTCATTACTTACATAATGGTTGATGGATGGGCGGGAATTGCTGGAGAGATTTTAAGGTTGAAACCGCTGATAATTTACCATTTGAAGAATTTTTTCTTGGTGAAAACTGACAAGGATAGGGAGGAGGCAATGGATCCAGGGAGCATTGGTTTCAATTCTGGAGAGCCACGTATACAGCTCTATTTTCTACTTGGCCTTGTCTATGCTGCTGTGACTCCTCTTCTGCTTCCTTTCATAATAGTTTTCTTCGGGTTTGCTTATATTGTCTTCCGTCATCAGGTAACTAATCAAAATTTGATTATAAATCAAACAAAAACTCTTGAGGATGACATAATTCTCGGGTTGCCACTTTACATTTTAAAAGAAACCAATCTAAGTTCATTTTTATGCTTTTCTTTTTGTATCCTTCAGTCTGTTGCTTTATATAATTTTTGCATTTTCTCTAAAAAAATGTAGATCATAAATGTGTACAATCAAGAGTATGAGAGTGCAGCGGCATTTTGGCCTGATGTCCATGGCCGTGTCATCACAGGATTGGTCATCTCACAAATTTGTCTCATGGGATTGCTGGCTACAAAGGAAGCTGCTCAGTCAACACCATTTCTCATAGCCCTTCCTTTACTCACTATATGTTTCCACAGATTCTGCAAAGGGCGCTACGAACCTGCTTTCGTTAAATATCCATTACAAGTGGGTTGGAATTTTAACATGTCACAACTATTGCCTTCTAGTCAGGCTCAAGTTATGAATTGGTTGACATTCTTTTATGTTTATTAATTTCAGGAAGCAATGATGAAGGATACCCTGGAACGTGCAAGGGAACCAAACCTTAACTTGAAAGGCTATCTTCAGAATGCATACATTCACCCAGTCTTTAAAGCTGCTGAAGACACTGAAGATGAGGAATTCATTAACAGGCTAGAGAATGAGACCGAGTTAGTCCCCACAAAACGTCAATCTCGAAGAAACACACCAGCGGCGAGCAAAATCAGCACTGGATCTTCACCATCTTTGCCTGAGGCTGTTCAGGAACATCTTGAGCCCTAAATCAGGTATATGAACATGGGTTGGAGTCATCACTGCTATATCCGTTCGACTCTACACAACATTATACTGAACAATGGAGGCAGAAGGTAAGGCAAGTACAGTTGAGTCGACGTAGATCTTTTTAAAACGCCAGAAAAAGAGGAGTTCTGGATTTTGCAGTAATCAGTTTCATTGTACTTAATTATTGTATCGGGGAGGATGATGAAAGGGTAGAAATTGTGCAGATTAGAAGGATGTTTGTTACTTCGTCTGGTTTGTTTGTATATTGACAAGTTTGCTTCCCATTGGCAATCAATAGAAGTTTTGCCTGTGCATGCAAATGGTTGAACATTTTATTTTCTTTCCATCATCCTGTTTGTCAACCCAAGGTGTTGTAGTTTGATTGAAGGATTGTTTGTGAAGGGTTTAGGGAGTAAATTCTCATGATCCTTTAATCTGTAGCGAATGGTCTATCTGTAACTAGATGAATGTTATATTACGAAAATAAATTCTTTAAAAATTTTCATGTTTTTGTTAGAAATGCCTAGTATTTTTTTTTTTTTGTTTTTTGTTTTTATAGATTTGAATTTAAAATTTTAATTTAACAAAAAAATGTTTGGGCATAACCAATAACTTATGCTATATTAGAGTTTTGATGAGCTAATTTCACTTTAATAAAATAATTAGTTTCGGTTCAAGTAATATAATAATAAAAATTAAATATGATTTTACATTAATTATTAAAATTAATTAATTTTAATTTTATTTGGATG